CCCCCTTCCACCCACTGCAATTAAAGACCCGTTTTCAGGCCACCATTGATTGCCAGCGGCGTAATGAGCCTCTGGGCACCAAGGGTGGGGGCAAAGCAATTAAAATCGCTGGTGGCCGTGTGGGTGGCTCTGGCCTTGGCTGGCACCGGTGCCCGTTTCGGGGCGAGCGGGCAACGCCGGGGCGAGCAGCGCCTCAAAGCGCCGCGTCTCCACCGCGGGCGAACAATCGGCTCGTTCTTCCCCGGGTTAAAAGAATAATAAAATAAAATAAAGAGGGAATAAAGGCCCCCGGTAAAACTGGGAGTCAAGTTTATTTACAAACTGAATATGAAGTGAAGGGCCGGGAACAAAGGTGTTATGTAAGGGACAGTCACTAAGGGGCTCTTTACCCACGCTAATTGCCACTTGCTCCACGATATCCATTTATCTTCCAGCTGAAACGGCCTCCTCGGGCTCCCAGGTTCAAGCACTGCTCGTTTGCGAGGCTGCCCGGCACAATTAGTGCTGCAGGAGCCATGGCCGATGTGATCCCACCCGCCCCAACCCACCGGGAAACCTCACATACCCCCCCAAAAAAAGCGGGATCGTGTCCGGGAGAGGGTGGATGCGCCGGCGGTTTGGTGGGGAGAGATGGGGTTTGGGGGAGTGGTTGGGTAACGGGGGGGACAACAGGGCTCGGTTCTGCTGGAGAAGATCCTCCAGGTCCCTGCATGAACGGTGACGAGCAGTGAACCCTCATGGGATGCCCGTGGGAGTAGCAGCAGGCTGGATATTAGGAAAAATTTTATCACTGAAAGGGTTATCAGACATTGGAATGGGCTGCCCAGGGAGGTGGTTGAGGCACCATCCCTGGAGGTGTTCAAAAGACGGGTTGATGTAGTGCTGGGAGGTATGGTTTAGTGATGATGCTCCTTGTTTGTTGTGTGGGTGTCTATTTTTGTCAGTTAGGTTGACGGTTGGACAAGATGATCTTTAAGGTCCCTTCCAACCTAGAAGATTCTGTGATTCTGTGATTCTGTGAAAATAATCACGGAATGGTTTAGGTTGGAAGGGACCTTTAGATGACACCCATGGAGGAACGAGATCTGGAGAGGATGAACAAACCCAGCGCTTGTGATGATGTTTCCCACTGGTCCAGCTGGAAACCACACTCAGATGCAAAAGACCAAAGGGCAGAGAATGGTAATAAATAAAATACCATGAGGAGAAGCTGCCGCGATCGTGTCTGTGCCCTCAACACGTGGCCTTTCTGCTCCCATCGCCCTCGGAGCATCCAGGGGTGTGAAGACCACGGAGGGACCCTTGGCTCCGCTCCGGCCAAACCGGGGAAGGGGGGAGGAAGAGGGAGGAAGAGGAGGCGGCAGCATCATCCCCCGGAGCCGGGAGGTCAATTTTATTGACAAACCGCCTCTTGAATGGAGCGTGGGGAACAAAGCCGGCCCTCAGCCCGGGTCAATCGGGACTCTGTAAAGCGAGGGGCCGGCACCAGCGGCCCCGGGAAAGCCCTCCCGGCGAGTGGCCTTTACCACCGTGTTTGCATAACCCCCTGACCCCTCCTTTGGGGGTTTAATTGAAATCCCAGCTTGGTGACAAATTGGCATGACCAGCGGGCCAGAGGGTGGGAGGGCGAGGGTGGAGGCGACGTCGGGAAACTCTCTCCCTGCCCCGGCAGAGACCGACCCGCTGCCCCTTCCCATCCTGGCACGGG